CCCCCCCAGAACCTCCCTGCCGCTTCTCTGACCCCCGGCCCCCTTACTGTGCTGCAGAGCGGCGCGCTCGGCAGTGGGGGAGGGGAGCAGGGTTGGAGCTCCAGACTGCCGGAGGCCGAGGCGAACGGCCGGGGATCTGTGAATGCAGGGAGGGAGGGGGAGGGAGAGAGAGGAGGGGAGTGGTCTCAAGTTTCAGGGGAGAGGAGGGGGAAGTGAAGGAGGGGCTCGGGCTGCCGGAGCCCGTGCGAGTGGCACGATCCGGCCAGCTGCCCTGTAAGCCGCGCACGCTCTGCATGGGGGGGAAGTCCGGACATTGACAAATTCCCCCCGGACGCTATTTTTAACTCAAAAAAGCCGGACATGTCCAGGGGAATCTGGACGAATGGTAACCCTACAGTGAGTACCAGTTAGGTCTGCAGATTGTATGCATTCATTTAAAAATTAAGAAAAGTGCATACAGCAGACGTGGAAATCTGCTTGCCGACACATTTAAGATTGGACTTTGAACCTGAATGATAACACTTTTCTCTCGGAAGGCTCAAAAACCAGAAGACACATAATAATTTTTTTAATTCGTATCATTTATTTTAAAAACATCATGATTAAGCCGATCTCATTGCCATTTGGGGCCTGAGTTTTGGTTTTTGAATGCATGGATTTGGCAGAAATGGGATGATTTTATCTAGATATCCATAGGAGTTTCTATTTTTTCAACCAAGCTGAAGAAAAATACAGGAGCAAAGGAGTTTAAATAAAAAAATTCAAGAGTTAACAAGTGCTCACAGTACTGAATTGCAAAGAGAAAATTAACAAAATATGTGCTTATTGTTGGTTTGAGGTTTTTTATACTCTATTAGCTTTAAAAAAAATCTAATGCTAGAAATGCAATAGGTTATTAGCCAATACTGAAAGACTAAAGGCTTTGGAAAACATATTAAACACAAAGTATTTTTGCTGAGAAAGACTAACAACTGTGAATTCATCCAGATTCACAACTTATTATCCTATAAAAAATTCTTGTAAAGATGGTGGCAAACCAACTTCAGCAATGTGTGACACACAAAAGCTCCTTCAGGATTCAGACCTGACCATGACATAGCTAATCACAACAGTTGACTCTCTCCCTCAGGGAAATAGTCAGAGGACAGATATGCCTCCTAACATGGCTCAGTCTTACACCACTTTCATGATAAGGTGTTTTTGACAACTGCAGGAGTTGGCAGGGGCACAGCAAATAACGTTACTGTGGTTCTGCTCATTCTTTTCTGCTCCTCCTACCCAAGCGCTCCAAGATGTGGAGGGTTCAAAAAAGAACTAGATAAAATCCATGGAGGATAGGTCCATCAATGGCTATTAGCCAGGATGGGCAGGGATGGTGTCCTTAGCCTCTGCCAGAAGCTGGTAATGGGTGACAGGGAATGGACCACTTGGTGATTACCTGTTCTGTTCATTCCCTCTGGGGCACCTGGCATTGGCCACTGTCGGAGGACAGGATACTGGGATAGATGGACCTTTGCTCTGACCCAGCATGGCCATTCTTCTGTTCTAATTCTCCAACCCTAAGTACCACATATACTAATCTGGAATAAAAGAACTCAGTCGTATTCACAAGTTATCTAGAAGCACTGAGACGTCAAAACACATCCTTTTTATTTTCAGCACCCATTCTTTTCACTCTATGTATATTATTGGAATATAGATTAGCTATCAGAAATAACCAGTGGTTTAGCAACTTATTGGTGATCTGTAATCTTGACAAAATTGCATTGCTCTAAATTGGTAACCAGAGATTTGACCTCCTTGTCCAGCAGTGTGCAAAATGATTAGGATTTGTGAACTATAAGATTGGGAATCGTGAACTGAATGGTTAAGGCCACACTATTAGTTGAGTCATTTTTGCCAGCTATACTGTGGAAGTAACGTGTTTAGCACAATACACAGTACCAACAATGACACTGAAAAGAAAACATATTTCTATCACATTTGTAAGATGATACTGAAGTTCCTGCAAAAGCAGGCAATGAAATCAATTGTTTTATAACTGCCTAACTCCTAAAAGTTAAACCAATATTTTTAATTTAATATTTTTACCTGTTTTGAGTAAAAATATTTTAGTAAAGTTAAAATATACAAAACTACAGGGTTCTAATACGGTCCAGATCACCCTGCCCAGGGGCATAATTTGGAGGAAGGGAATAAAAGGGAAACCTCTGCAAAGATACCCTCACAGAGCTCCTCCCTCTATTGTTACATCAGAGAAGGTAGGATTTGGCTTCTATGGAAAAGACCATGGGACTTGCTGCTAAATTTGATAGCTTCCCAGTTCCCAGAGATCTGTGAGAGGC